AGGGGATCTCTGAGGTGCCTCTCAATACATACAATGAGGTTATTCAGAAGATGGAGCCAGGTTCTTAACAGCAGTGCATGGCAGGAACATGAAAGACAACAGACCATGGTAGAAGGATGAAAAACAGATTGAAAGAAGGGAGGTTCATACTGGACATAAGGAAACCTTTTTTACCATGAGGGTTGGTTAGTCACTGGAACAGGCTGCCATGATAGGCTATGCAGCCTCCAACCTGGGACATTTTCAAGACCTGACAGAATAATGTCCTGAGCAACCTTGTCTGATCTCATCACTGATCTTGCTTTGAGCAGGAGGTTGGACTAGAGACCTTCTGAAGTCCTTTCCAACCCAATTTATTCTATGACTATATGAAAAGAAGAAACCACCAAGGCACATGGTTCCAGAGTTCTGTGAGATCCAGCATTTGCATACTATGACAAGTGGAGATGCTATTCCCTCCCATTACACAATCTGTACCTAGAGTGGCCGCAATTATTTTCAGAAACCCTATTTTCCCTTCTGGCTTGGAAAACTCCAGCAGCTGCAGGAACTGAAGGCAGGCAGTGCAAGTTTAGAAGGCAGATGGTAATATATCATTGCCTTAAGTGTTGCAATCACTTTATTCACAACTGTGGCCCATTCCATTGTGCCTGTTTTCCCAAACATTGTACAAGAACTTCCTCAAGCAGCAGATCCTAAATACTGATGGACAGACAAGTGAAAAAGCTTCCGATGGTACAGATCGAGGACCAAGGAAAGCAGGAGAAACTAGAGATTCCTTATCATACCACACTACGTGTAGCAATCTGAATTAAAAAACCTGCAAGTGCATTTAAACTTTGTGGATTGTGAAACAACATGTACGTTGTTGTTCTACCTAGAAGTCTTGTGATCCATTTTAAACACTATTTGAAACTCTAAGCTTCTTTCTGCAAGTATAAAAAATTCAAGAATTATGTTCTTCATTATCTATTCTGTTGGTGTTTATCAGCATGGTTCATTGTGCCAGTGTAACTTCCCTCATCTACTGGCTTGCTAAATAGTTAGAGGAGAGAAAAAATAATCTCTGAATTAACAAAGATCATACAATGTATGCATATGGAAAAATTAAATTAGATTATCTCAGACAGAGCTGGTAAAAACCCTTCCAAGAGTGGCAGTGAATACACAAAATATTTGGTAGCATGAGAACAAAAATCTCTTTCCAATGACGATCAGACAGAGATTTACATGTTGTTTTTCCTCATGAATGCTAAGAACATAAGTTTCCTTTAAATTCAAGCAACAACACCAAATAGAGAAATCCACAGCATTTGGGGAGGCATACTATCAGCCTGTATCAGAAACTGTGGCAATGCAACATCTTCACTTGTCTCGAAGATGACAGATTGGCCTTAACATTCAAACACAGGGCCAGAAAGTCATATTTTTCTCCTCCAGAATTCACTTGAATTTTCAGAGCCTTGCAAATGTATGCTTGAGGTTGAGGGAGAGTAGGGGTTTGGGCTGGTTTTACTTTAATTTCCAGCAACTGCTTCTTCCATTCAAACTGCAAACACTGATTTGGAGGGCCTTCTTGATATGACATTCGCTCCTTGGTATATTCACATAGTTAGTCTGAATGATGATAGATTTCACACTTGACAAGAAATTACCTCACACCACCCAGATGTATTAAGAACATTAAAAAATTAAGTCTTTAAAGCATGACCTCAGTGGCTTAGGACAGATCTGCAGTTACATCTGTTACTAATGTGCCATATCTACCTCAGTGACACATATTATCCAAAATTGTGTTTGGCACATCATCTCGCCATCTCTAAGAAAATACAAAAACATTTATGTGTCTACAAGTATCAAATGCTACCCTTGTTGTCAGGCCTGACTAACTTTCAACATTACAATTTTGAAGTTGATCCTTCCCAACTGTTAGTCAACCTCAGTATAATGAAAAGCAGTTTTTCCGAAAGTAGGAAAATACCACAAGCATCACACACTAGTATTTATTTTCTACTGACACACTAACAGGGCTGTACAAAGAATTACAGGTTCCTTCAATCAGGAGAGAAACAAATCAATTTCATTTTGAACTTGATCCAATAGACACTTTGGTCCAATTTTGTTTCTCACCATACTGGCAGTTTCCACTGTTCTCAAACACTTTCAAGAGAGCAGAGTTGCATGGAAGGCAGAATGCATATACATGTGTTTTCGTATTTTGGTGAAAGAAACTCTCTCCAGTTCCGTGAACAGTACGGTATGAAGTAGATCGGAGTAATGATCTACTACAGAGTAAAGAAAGCAATGATCCCCAGGCTTCTGTGGGTTAGCACTCTCCTGGGTAAAATGGGAGATGCAGGTTGCAATTCCTTCAGGTAAAGGTGAGGAGGAGAGAAGTGCTCCAAGCCAGAGTGTAACCATTTAGCTACTAGAAACAAGAAACCTTACAACTCTATGAGAAATAACAAATTTAATTAGTTCTAAAAGCAGTATTTCAAGGGTTGCAATTCAAGTGAATTTATTGCAGAGCAAACTCAAAGACTCACAGTTTTAAGACGAATGCTTTCTAGGCAAGTGAATCTACAGTAGCCAGTACAACAGCTAACCTCTGTGCTGTCCATTTCTAGGAAGAAAGCTAAGGAAACTGCAGAGAGGAAAATAAACTCAAGGGAGGTATTCTCCAGGGTAAGACTGTAACACAAGATGGCCAAGAAACTGTTCCAGAACTGCCACTGACTACGCATGATTCATTTGTTAGATGATAACACTTAAAAATAGGTGGCAATGCTATGTGGGCACTATGTGAACCACACATCTGTCTTCATCTCGTTATTGTTTGTCCAAGAATAGTAGGTGTCTGCAGATGCACATACCATCTACACAAAAACAATCAGATAAGTGTTGAATCTTTGCCAGTATCACTGTTTCAGGTGGCGGTTACACTGACCTATATAATCACTCTACATTCTTCATTATCAGAAGACTACATATGACTGGCAGAATACTGCACTTTGACACAGAATATGGCTTAGAAGTCAAGTAAATTTGTTACAGGATTAACATTAATCAAAATCACAAAATAACTCGGTGTCCTGGTTTTGCTAGGATAGAGTTAATTTTCTTTTTAGTAATTAGAAGAGCTGTATTTTACTTTCAGTGTTTCAGTTCAGACATATCATGAGAAGAACTTTGATAACAGTACTTGTGTTGCTGCAGCTCAAGGCCACGCTGTTTGTTTCACAGCTGCATTAGGACTGGGAGGGGGGAAGCGCAGTGAGGAGCAAAACCCAAAACTGGCATCTGGTTGTGCCAATGAAATATTCCATATCATATCACGTCATGCCAGTATATTAACCAGGGGTGACCGGAAGACGGTACACATTCTCTCGGGGATCGCTCGGGCTCACTCTTCCGGGGTTTCGGTTCGGGACTGTCTCGGCTGTGGGATCGTTAGCTGGCACAGGCCGGGCATTGGTCAGTGGGCGGTGAGCACTGTGTATCACTCATTTGTATAGTCTGTTATCACTGTTATCATTATCATTTTCTTTTAATTAGTAAATAGTTTTTATCTCAATCCATGAGTCCTTGCCCTTCTTTCCAAATTCTCTCCCTTACTCCCTGGGTGAGGGGGGGCGGGAGGGTGATAGAGCAGGCTGTGTTTGGCTGCAAGCTGCAAGCAAAAGGGTGAATCCACCCAAACCACCACACTTGGGGATACTAATGATGGTTTAGTCAATTGCACACAGAAGTTGCATATACCAATGTAGTCTAAGCCACAGGAAAACAAATAAGCAACTGATTTTTATTTTCAAACCAGATGGAAAACCAAAATCCACAACATTAGAAGTCATCATTTAGCAAAAAGAATTCACAATACTGAGATTATCACACAATGAGAACAGATGATTTGAGTGGCTAAAATACAGATATTGCAAGCAACTGTTCAAAAGTGATGTACTCCATTTTTATCAAGGATCTTTAATCTCTGTTCTTAACTTTCTACAGGTGAAGAGGGACAGGGGGGAACAGAGGAGGAACATTGTTTAGAATCCTCATGCAAATTATTTGTACTTTTAATTTCCTACCTACTTCAAACTAACACTTAAAAATATTGTATGTATGTTGCCACAGTTTATAGATGGTTGCTGGATGTGATTTCACATTTTTAAGAGACTTAGTAGCTCAGGACTGGTAACACAGTTCAAGTTCATTTCATCTGTAAATTAGCTACTCAGTCCAGTGATAAAATAAAAGGTTCCCTGACTACTGTGAAGCAGTAAGCCAGCTCTGTATACCTCCTAGTGAGCAGATTCTTCTATCACACCACCTGTGGTATAAATTACTACTTAAGATCCTAATAGCAAGAAAAGGGTATTAGATAAGCAACACAATGTCTTTATGCTTTTGCAAAATACCAAGTACAAAATTCAATGTATGCTGAAGAGGAACCTTCCACCCTCGTTGATTGCTAAGAGCCACAACAGTTAACGAGCACCAACTTCAAAGCCAAATCACTAGAAGTGTGCTAGGACTTCTTCCTTCCTGTTCTATATACTGGTAAATTAGTCTGACAGAAATCACTTACCCCAAGATTCAGATACTTCTGAAGAGCATGGTTCTTGACGAATTTTTTACCATAAGACTTCAAAGAGATATGTTTCAAAAATACATTCCTGCCAATAGAATACTCTGTCCCACACTCCATAAGACTGATGAACACTAGTCGTCCACTATAAGAGCTACAGGGTACAGTTTCATACCTTATGAAAAGCACGTATTTAAAAAATTGTTTATCTGTCAAGTACCCCTATGGTTTACAGGCCTAGGAAATAATAATTCCCATTAAATTATTACCTTCCTTTAGTGAAAGCAGATAACATTTTAAATGTCTCGGTAGCATGCTTTGCATGAGGATTTTTAACAATTATCTCCCTTGTTCACCTAAAGCAATTTAGATTTAGTCAAACTGACTAGAATCTTTCTCAAAAAAGTTCACTTACCATCCAGAAAAGGGTTCCAGTGGCAAATTCAGAATAATGCTCTATAGTAGACAGTACACTGAATATTAAACAGATCAGGACCAAGAGAAATCTGTAAACATAAGACAGTGTTTTAGTGACTTGTCAAGATGAACCATAAATCTAGATCTAGTTTTAGCACTCTCATTCACATAACTTTTTTAATCACAAGTACTTTGTGTTTCATCAATTCATTTTTCCTAGTCAAGTTGAATATAATCTTTTTGCATTTAATAACTTTTATGAAACATGGAATAAAAATTACAGAAAGGCTGAACTCAGTTATATCAACAGATAAAACTCACAATATCAAGTATAATTTCCCATAGAAGCTTGTCATAAATAATGTTTCATATTTCACTGATTGCTGTATTACTTATGTGTTGCAGTAGAAAGGTATGATAATTGGTAATGCATTAATTAAAGTAGAATTAGGCATATGACTGGAGTGAGGAACAGTAATTTCAATGAAAACTGTTCCATTACATGCATTCCATAAATTGAAAATATACATAACTACAGAAGAAACTGCTACTACCACAGTATTTCTAGTATCACCATTCAGATCAAGAAAAAAAAAAACAAAAAAAACTGCCCCCAAAAATAGTTTAAAAAAGCAAAATTGAAAAGTCATGAGAATTGGAAAACAAAATGTGCAATTGAATCCTAGTTGATGAAAAGCTGAAATGCTGTCAGAATACACATTACTTCAATGCGTACAATCCCTCAACCATCTTTCCAGCATTGGTAACATGGTAAACGTTTAAATAACTGGTGAAAATAAACGATGTATGAAGAAATCTGATGGAAGATAATTGCTCCTCTCTGTTTACTCTGAACTGTGAGCTCTGTAGGGATAGGAACAGTTATCCACATCTGTGTATTTTGTTTCAGATACTACTGTAAAGCAGATTTCCAGATGCTTTCAGGTAAGTGTGGTCCCAAAATGTCATATGATGACTCAAAAGAAAATATAAGCTTGGGGATTCTACAGAATTAAAGGACTTAACGAGTGTAAACTATTTGATTGGCAAAACTTAGGCATTTAGAAACAGAACCCTTGAAAATCAGACATGCAATTCCACTATGCACGCTACAGGAAACAGGAAGCAATAAAGGCCATTCTTTCCAGCTTTGAAATAATAACTTGCAAGGACTTAGACAGAATGCTGATTCTTATTTTAATGCTTAAATTTAAAGTATTTTTGTTTTCATGAACCTAATAAACATTTCAAATTGTTTTCATGTCTTTCTTTAGCTGATTTATTTCAGTACAAATCAAAATTTAGGATTTAGAGCATTATTCCTATCTAAAACAAAACAGAAAATGGCCTTCCTTTTTTCATTAAAAAAAAATATAATGGGAATATAAAAGAAAAGGAACTATATAAGTCGAGTAAAGTCCATGTGAAGGATGACTTTACCATGCCATATAATAGAAGAATGATTCAGAAAAGCAGTTTTATGAACTTTAACATTTGTGAGCTCTTCTTGCAGGTAGCTTTTATTTCCAGTGCTCAATTGCTACTGCAAATCACAGTAAATACATGGTGAACTCCCAGTCAAATAAATATTGAAGATAAACAGACATCTCAGGCTGAAATCTTCAAAACTGCTACTTCCTTCTTTAGGTGATCACAGCCTTTCAGGTGGATACAAATTTCCTGGGTGATTGTATTTCGGCTACTGATTACATCCCCAACTACCACAGAGTTCTTGAATTCTCAGCTGTCCTCTGACTGCATTATAACAGTCTACAACAAAAAAAAGTAGCAAGATCTGCTTGTGTTCGCAGACAGAGCTGAGGTGTTGGCCTCCTTTCACACGCTTGCCCATTGTTAGCAATGTTGTCCTGAGAGATGCAAGTATGAATGTCCTCTAGTTTCAAAAGGGTGTTAAGCCCAAGCAGAAGCTTTAGCTCCTAAGCAAGAACATCAGGAGCTAGTCATTAGCACCAAATAGAAAGACTGGGCCAAACATATGGGAATGATTTTAGGCACCTAGTTGTAAGGAGGTGGGTTCAGATTGTAAAACCTGTTCTTACCTAGACTTACAGTTCAGGGCTGTTGGTTCTATCCCAAGGGTCTTACATCTTGATCTATTGGTAGAATTAATAAATAAATAAAAATTATACTACATTGATTTCCAAAGGGGAATTTGAAACAGTTCAGTATTTTTTTCTGAAAACTGCTCAAAGGAGACTAAGACACCTAAAGAAGTAAGATTTTTGAGGTTCTTACCTAGCCCGTCAAAGGACAACAATTTTCTGGATGCCTTTAGTAAACCCCTCTGGATCCTAGCTGCTATCTGGTTCTCTTGAGCTCTGTTTCTGAGTCCACCTGCATTAGCCTTGTCTTAGCTGAGAGCCAGCTGATAAGGGCCTAAGATTCAGCACCACAGTGTGAGAGACCAAGCCGAACCTGTGCTGCCAGGAGAAAAGGACAGAAGGAGCCAAGGGGGAAACATGTTTAGCATGCTTACTGAAAATGAAAATCTGATTTCTCCAAGTCTCTCGTATTCAGGAATCTGTTGCACCACTTTTGACGGTGTCAACAAAGAAAACTGTGTTTGTGGTGGGCATCTTAATGATTTCTAGTTCTTCATTAATGGCAAATACCTGGGGCTGAAATGTCTTTAGAAAAAATAAGGCTGTAAGGGAAAAAGAGATCCAGATAACACATCTGAGTCAGGACTAGCAGCGCTTTTAGCACAGGACAGACCTTAGCCACGTTCTCATGATTTACTAGTTCCACAGCCCATCACCCAATCCTGCTACTTCTTTCACTTCAACATACACACATTGCCAAGCATATTCAGCAGTTTTACAGTGTTGGGTAAATGGAGAAAGGCACAAAGAAATGATCAGATCTTTCCATTTGGCAGTGTCAAAAGCATATCAAACTCTGATCTCTTGAAGCTCAGACTATCCTCCAGCCAAAAATCACAGGAACACAGGAACTTGGCTGGTGCCTGAAACAGCAGATAGCTGCATCAAACAACTGAAGCATCTTAGAACTAGTCATTTTCTTATGAGACTGCTGTTCCACTCCTACCATTGTTATAGATCTTATTTCTGGGCAAAATACATGTATAAAGGTATAGAAATCTTCCTCTGAGTACAGCCCCTTAATTTCTTCCAGATCTCTGCCATTTCAGTTACCCCCTTTCAAAATTTCTTTGTCTTCTTTTACTGCCCTTGTTAGTAATAAATAAAAAGCCAGGAGTAATTCACATTCTTAGTGTTGTCTATCAAGGTACTGAGGATGACAGTGCACTTCACATATTTTCTCCTTTTCCACTCTAAGTTAAGCAAAGAGAAGCACTGGATATTCTTACATAACCTGCAGATATTATCACTACATCTTCAACCATATTTCCTATTAGGCCTCAGAAAAAGTAATCAAATTTGTAAACCTCAAAAAAAGAGGCTTACAAAAAAAAAAAAAATTGAGAAAAAAAGTGATGCAAAGTGTCAAGACATATGTGCCATTTATTCACTAAGGGACCCAGGACTGTCCAAAGGCTGCTAATACAGCCTGCAAGTTTTGTAACTCCCAGCTAATTGTTGCTTCTCTCCTGCATTTCTCTGTTGAGACTCTCTCTCTCTTTTTCCATTTCCAAAACACACATTAAAACCATTTAAAAGACCCTTTAAATTCAGTTAATTTATGGCACTATATATTCTGGCCAGTGAGTGTCACTCCTTCCCAGTGAATAACAAAGGCATCATTTTGCTAGCACAGGATAGGCTGGACATGGATATGGATAAAGTATCTTGTCCTCATATAAAATGTATTTATTTGAAGTGTGGAATCACTGCTGATCACTTTTGGTCATAAAAGATCAAGTCTTGCTTTTTGCAAGAGGGGAAGGGTTAGATTCAGAGCACCTGGATATATTCCAGTTTCAATAATCCCCTTTCTCAAATCCAAATTGTAATGTAAAATCCTCCTGGTAATGTCAAGCAGAAAGTTTGTCTCTTTGTACACTATACTGTTAACAGCTTCAGTGGTTTCTTTGTCCAAGTGATAAAACACCTTGCTACGCAGTGGCAAAAGCAACTAACTGAACCATAAGCATGAGGGCAGCACACGGGGTGAGTACTGATTAAGTTCCAATGAGGACAAAGATAACTGCAAAACTAACGAGGGAGTAAGGGCAACAAGTTCCTCACAATTACCAATAGCAAGAACAGCAACCAAAAATAATAATAATAAAAAACAAACAAAGGGAAAGCAAACTCAGTTCAAAGACAGTTCACCTAGTCAACCAGTAAGCCATGAACTGATAGTAAAGATGTTGTTCCAGTAATCTCTAATCACAGTAAAGCTCTGGCACAGAAACAATAGGTTTAGAAAAGATGACTGTACGATAATTTGTATGAAATCAGAGACACATGCCACAGGTGTCAGTCTGTTGCACAGCTCAGCAGCAAACTGTAGTGGCAGCATTCTTACAAGTACTCTGTCACTGAAGAAAGCTGTGTTTTACAAAAATTGAGCCCACCTTGTCTGAAAGATACAGCCGTCAAGTGTCCTCAGTTGTAAATCCTAAACTACTCTCAGTGTTTTTTCCCTTTTATATGATGGGAAGATCATATTTATTTTCCAGCTAGGCAATTTATGTGGGGAAAAAAGAAAAAGGGTTAATAGACATTAAAACTGCTAATAATGACCCAGACAATTGTCAAGGCCCTGTGGGCGCTATCTCAGCCATCCCAGTCCCCAGGGAGAGGCTCAATGCCTGGGGCTGGGGTTGCCCTGGCTGCCCCCCCACTCCAGCCTGCTCTGCTCCTTGGCTGGAGCAATGCGATGCGATGGGCTCTGGCTGCAAGGTCCTGCCCTCCTGGCCCTGGGGAGCCCCCGACCGGCCCCCTGAGTGCATCCAACCATTCCTCCCCAGGCAGATGTCAAACATGAGACAACAGGAACCTGTTCTGCCGGTAATACCTGCAACTCACTTTAACTTCTGTTAAACTATAAATGGTCATTACCCTGAAAAATTAAGATTATAACTTAAATTATTAAATTTAATATTGCCAATACTAACATATTTTGATATCTTTAGCTTTTT